ATTCTCGTGGTACGCGAGAAAACGGCCATTGCGCCGCAACTAATCTATGAAAAAGCCGCAATTTTTCTTCGAGCATTTGTCTAAAACTTCGCCAAAATTCTTTCAAATATTTGCAAGTGGACCGCAAGAAATCAGCGAACTATTTTTCCGGTGCCCGCCCGCCCATAAATCGCATGGCCGCCCTCGGCGATTATCTGCTCAGACAATCGTCGGGGGCAGGCGGGCACGGAAAAATAGATTGCTGATCTCTCGCACCCCGCTCGCGGATTTTTTGGAAAGCAATCAGGACTTTTGGGAAGACCGCTTGCTGAGTCAGCGGATTTTTGAGAGACCGCCTGTTGAATTTTTTTTCGCTCTTATCTTTTGCAGATATATTGCTGAATATCTGAGGAATCGAGAACTCAGCAAGCGGTCTTCCGAAAAGTCCTGATTGCTTTCCAAAAAATCCGCGAGCGGGGTGCGAGAGATCAGCAATCTATTTTTCCGGTGCCCGCCTGCCCCCGGCGATTGTCTGAGTGGGTGCAAGTCTCACCTTTGCTCGGCGTACGCCCGAAAGCTTAAAATGAGTCCGAGCGCTTGCCGAGTGTTTGGCCAGCGCTCGCTAAAAGATATTATTTGACGAGCGCTTGCAGAAAATTTGTACTGCCCGCTTGCAGAACAAGAAATTACGGGTGGAGAGAGTCCCGCGCGGATTTTATGCAGGAACGCATGTCCCGCGTACATTGTCGCAAATGACCGCGGGGACCGCTTTCGGCAACATATAGTCCTCTACCCCGGAAGTACCGCTCACTGACGGTTTGACCGCGTCTCAAAATTTTGCCGACTGCTTGCAGAAAAGCGCGAGTTTGCGGACCGCCTGCCCCCGGCGATTATCTGAGAAGGAGCGAGTATATCCCGCTGTCTGTTCTGCCTTCCGGGATTCGGCATGCTATGATGTGGAGAAGAATCATACAGCTCCCGGTTTCGAAGGATTAAGAGAACAACAGAAGAATCTTTCGCCAGTTCTTATCAGATCTGACACTCTGGCAAGGCTTTTAAAACGGTACCTGACGGAGGCAAGGTTCCAAGTAAACGGAAGATCAGCAAGACTGTGTTGCTGTACAAGAAGGGAGTCCCGCGTGTTTAGCCCTATCTGCTTACTGTCTACAGTCTACAAAGTCTTCACACCATTATTCTCAACAGGATCGGAAGAGAATTAAGCGAAGAACAACCATGCGAGCAAGCTGTTTTTCGAGGAGGATCCAGCACGATAGACCACATACACACAGTGTCAAGGCTCATCGAACTGTCAAGAGAGTACAAGATGCCGCTCTGGGCCTTTGACTAGGTTGAGACTAAAGCCGTATTGACGCCTTGAGCAATTAAGGTATGCCTACTCAGTGCAACAAGAAAATTCGTGAGCTGTATAACGATTTCACAACCAGCATCACACTAATCTACAAGAATATCATCATTGACATAAAGAGAGGCGTACGACAAGGCTAACTAGATCGCTGAAACTATTTAGTGCCGCTCTAGAGAAGGTCATGTGTAGGTTGGAATAGGACGACACTGGAGTGAAAGTCGATGGTCGGCAATTACATCACCTTCGCTTTGCTGATGACATCTTTATTAATAACGCCGAGCATTGCGCAAGTGGAACGAATGCTGGCCTAGTTTGACGACGTGTGTGGAAAGATAGGTCTACATCTGAATCTAAAAACGATGTTCATGAGAAACAGGAGAGTGCATGATTCTCCTTTCATGCTCGACGGAACTAATAGTAGCGAATGCTCGAGCCTAAGTCGGGAAATCAACATGACGAACGACCTAGCACCGGAACTGAGTAAGAGGAAACGAGCAGCATGGGGACAGAAAACAATTGAGGACGTAGTGAAGAAGACCAGCTGAGGAACTCGCGCCGTGCGGGCGGTCAGCGACGACCTTACAAACGCTCGTTGGTACGTGCAATTATGCGGTCGTGAAGGGCCGGTGGTACGGTTGATGTAGAGCGCCCGCACGGTCTTTAATGCTCGCCGCTTGCGGGGGTAATGTCGGCCGCTCGCTTGATGTTGGGGTGATTTCAAATGGGATACCTTGACCATTTTTCTTGGAAACGTTAATCCTGTTCACGTTCTGACGTAGATCAATGCCTGAAGCATAGACCAAACTTCTAATGGGAAAGCCCCAAATCATCACTCTTGATAACTGTAACTTCACACAGGTTCATTGCAGCCTTGCTGTCGAAAGAAAATGTTGGTAGCAAGACATGTCAATGTTTAAGGCAGCCCAAACGCTGCGTCGTATCTCACGCTGGTACCGTGTGCGCTCCCAGTGTGTGGATGCGAGAAGAAGATAGAGGTCACTGTTGGCCGCTTGTACGGCAACGGGTAGTGCCGGCCTATAAGACGGACACATTGCCTTGCAGCTTGCTCGAGCAAATGTATTGCTGGCCGCTTACGCGGTAACATTGTCTGCCGCTTGGACAGCGCTTCAGCTGTTTGCCGCACGCACTGAAGTTTTAGGCTTATGCCGACCGCTTGTACGCTAGCCCTTAAAGGAGGACCGCTCGCATGGCGCGAATCCCTGAGTATTTTTCCAATTTCTGGGTATTGCGTCATATAGTTAGATTGCGTCCTAAACAAGCGACAAAAATAATTTGAATGACTAATGAAGCCGTGAGCCATAATATTCATTAACACACCTGCTTCGCACGTTATGCTGTCTATGAAAGCCTCTGATTCAGACATGAGGATTTTGCGTTAGCGACCCAATATTATACAAACTCCGCTAAAGTCTAACTGGCAATATTCTGGAAGTGATCGGCGCAAAAATTGGAAGAGGTCACTGTCATTCTTGTTAATCTGTTTCAGAACAAGCCTAGATTTCATTTGCTTGATTTACGCGTACTCAGGGACTCGCGCCGCCGGGGTAAGGTGTGGCGCACGTACGGTACTATGGCTCGCCGCTTGCGCGGGGAAGGTGGACCGGTCGCTGGATGCTGTGGGGTAACGAGATACCTTGATCCTTCTCTTTGTTGGTCGCCGGGAACGTGGATCGTGCAGCATTGGTCCAACACTTTATGTTGGGGGTCTGCGCTTGCACTTTTCCATTGGGGTCTGCGCTTGCACTTCTGGCCATGCATAGAGTCATGGACCTTCCTCGAGCTCCTGGTTAATGAAGGTCGCGCTGGTGATACAAACATATCATGACAGCCTAAATGGCAGCCTGAACGCTGCATCGTATCTCACGCAGGTACCGTTTAGGCTCAAGCGTGTGACAACTACGAGGAGAAAATAAAGTCACTGTCGACCGCTTGCACGACTACAGGCTTTGTCGTCCGATCAGACGGGCACATTGCTGGCCGCTTGCTTGGGCAAATGTACTGCCGCTCGATCGCACGGTAACATTGCCCGCCGCTTGGACGGAATTTTCATAGCTTCGTAAGCCTTAGGTTTAGTCGGCTGTTTGTGCGCTGGTGCCTGTAGGAGGACCGCTCGCACGGCGCGAATCCCTGAGAGGAAAATCCGGCTCCGCGCCTACCTCTTCAAATCGCGATTCTTCCTGCTTTAACGTACGCTTTAAAAATTACGGACCATGAAGAAGCAGGATGAACACGCGGTTAACGTCATCGAACGTGCCTGCTGAGAGAGATATGTTAGGAGTGAACCGACTAACACAAGTTAGAGAAGGAATACGGTGTTTTACCTTATGTCAACGACTGAAAATCAGGGACGCTGCCGCATATGCCAAGCAGAACAATATAAGATGGGTCGGACATGAATGCATTTCACGACAAGCGGTGGACGAGAGCTGTGACAGATCAATGCCACTAGACAATGAACGCGAACGGGGAAGTCAACTTCATCAAGGGTTTTCTGAAGGCTGACCATCGCGTTGGCGATGGTCAGTCTTCAGAAAACCCTTGATGAAGTCCTTCAGAACGTTCCACAGTTTTCGGACTTTTAGAAAAATTTTAAGGCTGTATCCCGAGCAAAAACTTGTGGAACTGATCACTTGTTATTCAATGTACGGTAAAACGGGTTAACTTCTACGAAACAAAAGCACAAATGTAGAAAAAGGCTTTCAGATGATGTTCAAAGTCTCCTGTGAAATGTCTTCCTCTTCGTGAGATTCAAGGAAAGTGATGAAGCTGCGTTCTAAACCAATAAAAATCAAAAACCACAGAGAACTTTTGCTATACTGATGGTTTCTACTAGGGTGAACGGTGGGAAATAGGACAGCTCAATTTTTATTACATTTTGGGATTTTTTGTTTCGAGAAACAGCAAGCACGCTGCAACCTAAAGGTCACTTACATAAGCGGCCTTCGCCTATTATCCTGAGAATGCGATAACGCTTTTCCCCCACAACCCTAAGCGTAGCGTCGTGAAGAACTCGAATAAAGTTTTTGAACTCTTAATCTTGCGCTGCCCTACCGTATAGTTATAAAGCGAGTCACATACATTTCGAAAGAGATCTTCATGCTCTTTTGTATGGTTTAATGAATATACAGCTCTGCGTTTTATTTCCAGATAAAGAAGCAAAAACTTGAAAAATTGCGAATTTTTAGCGCAATAAAAGCTAAATAATCATGCTTCAATCTATAATTTTGCAAAAGTAGGGGGAATTTTGCTTAGACAGCATATGGATTGATAGAGCGTAAATCTATCAGATGGTGGCCAGAAAGCGTGCTTTCACTTGCAAAGAAGTAAATAACACGTATCTTCGTTCTCAAAACTGCTAATGATTACATCCCCTGACTTCATGCGTTGCGGCCAGCAAGCCACAGTGGGTTCGGTGACCGTACCTTCACTCGTTGCAGCAGTAGTACTTTGGATGGTTTCGCATGTTTCACTACTGTTTCGCAAGTACAGCTAGAAGTTCATAAATTGTCAAGGCGATTAACTTTGCATTTCAGCAAGTATAATAGTTATTAGGTATCTAGATGACCTTATATAGATACTTTCTAAAAGAAAATATTATACTCTATTATCTATCGAAATTAGAAAGTTCATTCACTTCTCTTTCTTGAAAAATTTACAGTTATTCTCAAGGTGTCCCATTTTTTACCATTCACTTTAATAGAATGTTCTATGGTCGGAACTTCTTCTGAAGTTCTTTTGCTTTACATACATGCATTCTCATGATATTGCAGCATTTGTTCGCGAATAATTTAAGATTCATGAGCGATCATACAGCCATGACATCAAACTAGAAATCGAAACATAATCAGAGCTGTGACCAACAAATAAAGTACGCCAGCCGTATAGATCGTAAACAGCAAAATAGTCTTTATATAAAACATTATCATATAAGAAATATGATAATGGCATATTATCTATTTCTTATATGATAATGGCATATTATAGCATACGATAATGGCATATTATTTATTCATACCATACATAAATTGGCGGTCATTTCAATAATATGTTTTTGCGACGTTCACCGTCTTTTTTCACACGATAAGCTGACACGAAGATTGCGACCATGGCTCCATTCAATTCCCAAGTATTTCAGGTAGAGGATATATGCTTGGTATTTGTTGTATCAAGAAGCCAGTGTTTGATGCAAAATAAATGCAGAACGAATTGCGCCAACAGTATTCAATCGCAGATGGTTGAATGCTTACTTTCGACTTTTTATTTTGGAGTTAATAATCAACGAATGACTAACATTTTGCAGTAATTTAAAACATGAAAAAACGCACTTGTAACAAGGGGTTCGATTGTTATAGTCGGTGTGGTCAGCGAAATTTTCACAAATTAAAGGTGTCCGGGCAAGGTTGAGGTTTTCTGATTTCAGTGTCGTGTGGAAGTGGCCCCCCTCAGACACAACATCACGCAAGTACGAGGTTCTCATCTTCGACATAAAGTATCTTTGATCCAATTGGTTTAGCTCCGTCAGGGCAGGCCGCTCGCGCCCGCGACGCACCAGCGTCTCTCGCGCGCGAGTGCTCTCTGATCATTACCTAGCCTTAATTAGGTCACGAAGCCCCGCCGTTGCCGAAGCTCAGCCAGTTGAATCAACAATAAGAAAAACAATCGGGAAGTGGAGAAACTTACGCTTGGGGCGGGGTCCTCCGACCTGATTGAATTCCTACCAAGCGGCAGAGTACGCATGCCGCAGTGCCATGCCAATCGTAGGGTCCCGCAGCGACTTTGCGTTCTCAGCCTTGGTGGGGATAGACAAATTTTGAATTGTATTGCTTTGGAAAACGCATGTCCTCATCGCTTTCGCGCCTTCTAATGTGGATTTTCGGATTCAGCGTTGCGGATAACCCCGGTAAGTGGATTTTCTTGAAATCGAGTTTTTGCCCGGGCACTGCCTTTAAGGGTGGCTTCATACCGCGCCGGCAGCCGCCAGCAGCCCAAGCTGCCTTGGCCGCTTTTGTTATTATGGGAGCGCAAAATCATCAATTTTTTACTACACTGCTGTATCCGTCTATGCTTTTCTTTTTCCATCTTTTTCCTTCCTATTGTCGCCAAGATGCAGTTTGATTCCTTATATCATTCTTGTGTTCATTGTTGTTATTATCTTGTTGCCGTACATTACATATCATCCCATTCGTGCCTCATTCCACTCTTGCAATTTTGTCTAAGAATAATTTTCAAAAGTACTTTCCCAAATGAACGTTGCGTTCCTGACCAGCATGCTCATTCATCTCCTTTCTCTGTACCAAATCCCATCATTCCAACTTGAAGTAAACAAATCGAAGACTCTGAAGTTTTGACGAGAAATAATTTGTTCGTAATTAGCAAGTTCACTTACCCTGTATATCAGCACCTTCACAACTTAGAATGTGTTGTTCATGTGGCAACGCAGATGATTCATTACTGAGCACTTCAGCTCCAAGTCACTCCGCGCCATGATAGCGGGCGACGCAAGCTAGTGCGACGCATACGTGAACGTGATGGGCTCCGCAAGAACGCATGTGGGCCGATGCAAGTCGTCCGCCAAACTCGTAACGAGGCAGTCTTTGGAGATGGTTATAAAGCCCGTATTGGATCATTTGCGCCCGATCGAATAGTGCGCGCTTGAATAGCGCCTTACAGAGGAATGATACTTGGTCGAAGTGGTAAGTAGTGGTTAGCTATGGTATTCAAACTCATATAATATTAGATAGGAAAAGCGAGTACAATGAGATCACTACAGCACGGCTATGAACATGTCATGAAATGTTATCGAAAACACAAATTTATAGAAGGTTTTTGGAAGGAGAACAAAGATTTGAAGTTCTTCTTCTGAGGAAACCACTATAAATAAGCCAGCGCAACTCTGTGCGCTCTGCAAAAGTCACTGGAGATTGAAAGTGATAGTGAGGTAGACGAGAATAATAGCACGAACCAAAGCATGAAGTGAGACATGTCTGCAACTAGCTGTGGATGACCAGTATACTTTGGACCGAATCGAAAGATTATTCGATTATTCGAATAAATCGATCGAATGCGAATGATTCGAAAATTCGAATATTCGATCTGAGTTTTCGATTTATATTCGATAATCGAACATTCGAAAATTTCATCATCAAATATTATTCGAAAGTCGAATATTCAAAAATCTCAACTTTCAAATCATTCGATAGTCGAATATCGATTCGATTATTCGATGTGCATCGAATATTCGAATATTCGATGAGTACCGAATATTCGAAAAATCGATATCCATAGCGTACACGGGATGTCCCCAAAGTAACTAAACACTGTTTGGTCGCTAATACCTTTCACGGAGTCTTTTGCCAACCTATGTGTAAGATCCTGTAGGGAGGCTGTAGCATACATATACAGCAAAAAGCGAATCAACCATGCTCTTACTGTGAGATTACGAAACTGCGAAATAAGATATCTAAAAAAGTTCCTCCAAAAAAATCTAAAAAACTGTGCATGTAGCAGAGCTTTTACGAATGCTGATTTTACTACGCACGAGTTTCTAATGAGTCACGTTTTTGGAAGGAGTTGAAACACTTGTGGTGTACTTCACATAAGTTGTGAAAAAAGCATTGCATTTCAAAGCAAATTTTATATGTAGTGATTGTCTCTAAAAGTTCAATGCAAGATTTTCGGCTTCTTGGCTCCCTTTCCTGGGCAAACCTGCTTTTGAAGTTTCAAAACCCTCTTCAATTTTCCTACGGTAATTTTACTACAGTGAAGAGCGATCGATGAGTCGCTCCGTACTGTAAGTCTAAATTGATGTCAGCCTACAGACCTACATAACATCTATTCCATAACTAGGAGACGCAAAACCGCATTGCAGACATTGTCCTAACAAGTTTGAGTTTGTTCTTCCCTGTTTCCAAAGGTAAATACACCCCCCGGACGAGACAAAATAACATGTATATATAAACCTGCTAAGTACACGATGCGGCTTATTTAGACAACGTGTGCAATGCGGTCTCGCATCACCTGGTCATAGAATGAATGATACTTCTGGGACTCCTCTGTATCAAACATCAATACATCATCGAGAGTATATAATATTCTTTAAAATGCTACAAACTTTTCGCAGCCGTCGTAGGAGTATGCATTTAAGTTCTCAGGCCTCTTGACATTACTAAGCCGTTTTTTAGTCGTAAATTGTAACATAAAAAAGTGTTTATTTGTGATACTCAAATGAAGCCACTTACTGCTAGATATATTCTCTTAAAGGCAGTCATCTCATTTACATTGATAAATCGTGTAGTATTCGACAGTCGAATAATATTCGAAAACCGAATAATATTCGAAACTCGAATAACGAATGACATTCGATTGGGAGGGTATATAATATCCAAAGTAAAGCGGGGGGTGCGGCACGCCACACCGGGGGTCCTAAGGGGAGGGGGGAGGGTCGGGTCCAAGGTCAAAAGCGGTTTTAAGAGGAAAAGCACTGCAACAGAATTTTTAGATGTGCCACGCTCTTTCCCAGCTGCCTCTGACAACCCAGCTAAAATAAGTGAGAGAAATACAATGGACTCCCGGTTGGGGTACGAGCTGTAATTTCAATAGAATTTCTTCAAAAAGCAGCTTTTGCAGTCAGTTGATGGATGACGGTGTGACGATCGACGAGTGATGTCTGGGAACGTGAATTATTTTGTCAGTATAAAATACCCGATACCTTAAATGACTTGTGTTAAAAAAGAAGAACACTACGCATATCGTTTCTGTGGTTTCTATGCAAAATGTATATCTATATATTTATCCGTTGCATACGTCTGATAAAATGAATAGTATTGTATCAAATGATTTTGGTACAGCAGATGTGAAGATTTTCAGTCTGTTTCCTTACAGGATCCGATTGAGAAAATACTCATCTTAGCAAGTTCTTCTTGCAACAGTCGGTTTTCAACTGAAGTGTTGAGAGCCGGTAGGAGAACAAGAACGGCCGCAAAATACGCATTCTCAAAGGAAGGACGATATCTTACTTTCTTGCTCCATTTCCCATTGTTTCGTGGGCTCCTCAGCTTACTGGGATTGAGGAACGCACTAGCATTACAACTCGCATCCTATCTTCCAAATTTTTTTGCCGTCTGTCTCGATGGAGTAGATTTTCAAGTGCAGCTATTAGAATGATTGTTGTGAAAAGTCTCTTCTATGATGTAGACCCGAATTTGCACCAAGTGTTTCAAATACATCAAGCTCTGGAATAAATAGTAAACCCAAAAAAATAGATTTTTGTGATCTCAGAAAGTCATGGTCCGATAATTCCATTTTTTCAGAAACATATGGAAATGATTTCGGTCTTGCAAAATTGTAAAGAATGATTGCACCGTTTTCTGGCATGAACTTGAAAACGGAACTACCATGATTCGTAAGTTATAGCGATGCAAACTTAGGCTACAGGACTTCTGGGACACCCTGTGCTACAGTACAAGGAAAATGGACATTTTGTGTAATTAGAAAAAGATAATGTATGAAAGATGCTTCATAGAAGTGTATGAAAAATGCTACATGAAACTACATTGAACGCTGAAGTACCTATCTTTATGCTTGTTACAGCTCGTTATATATTCTGCGTTTACTGCTGTCATTTACCAACCATTAACCAGAATCTTGACGAAAGCACACTCAAACAATTTTTGATGGATAGCAACGGCTTACCTTTATTGGAAAGAAGGTACACTTAATAAGGGTAGCTGCATCGAGAAGATTGACTTCACGAAAGACTGTTGAAGTACTGCAAATTGCAAGCACATTCGATGACACCAACTTGCAGATACCGTATGCCTACCGTAACCTCTCAAAAAGGCCCTAGCACGCTAATTAAGTATAATTGTCGTAATCAGCATGTTGAATAACCCCTATGCGCCAAGTTTCGTGAACTCTGAGGTCTCCGAGTAGTAAACGAGCTTGTATGAAGCAGTAATTTCAAACATGATTAACTCCATTTTAAAGGTGAGTAAGCTACCTCTTCTTGCACTCAATACAAAGCACTAACCCTTCCTTCCTTGCAAGAGAAATCCCACTTCAAGAAACCTCCATGCTGTGGAAATAGAAGATTGCCAAATCTCACCTATAAATTTCAATGGCTGTGCTTTCCCTGAATATTACTCAGAGCTAAGAAGACGAATCAAACCCAAATAAATCCTATGAAATCTACGAGGTTTAGGCTATCGATCATATAAATAATGTTTACTAAAAATGTCTTTTTGATATAGTTAATGGGGTGCGGCCCCCCCCCCCCCTCAAAAGCTGCGGCTGCCGCAGCTTTTAGGGGGGGGGGGAGGGAGGTGCCGCACCCCATTAACTTACCTTCAAAAGGCTCAAACAAAACCCTTTTTTATACTATTCTATTGAGCTATCCTTCCCCCCTTCGTAATAGCATTTGCCCCCCCCCCAAAGCGCCTCCTCTTCGAAAAGATACAGCGGATTATCTAACCCCTACTCGCAGCATGGCTCTGAAAAGCGCTGAAAATATTGGTGTACGGTAGGGGTCGAAAATTGCCATCACACCAAGGGCGCGAGCCACGAGAGTTTGAAATCCGCATTGTTAATTCCACTCGACTTTTCCACTTCTTCATTCGAGTTTAAGCTCGAGTGAATTGATCAATTGGTGTTCTTCACGATTTCGCTTTTGATTTCCATCGTGTTCTTGGATTTTCTACATGTTTTCCGGTGGATTTGTCAAACAAACGATCAAACTTCTGATGTCTGATTTGATGATATGATATGATCGAACTTCTGCTCTTCTGATGTCTCCTTTTCTTTTTTGTGCCTACGTCGCAATAAATGATTGCTAAAACTTTTTCTCCATCTGATAGTTAGTATTCTTCGTGCGACTCCTATATCTTATCGCAGAATCAAATTTGATGAAGTTACACTTCTAGATTACCTAGAGAACGAGTGCTTTAAGATTCTAAAGCGAGCGACATTACGAATCTTCATCATTTGTATCGTACGCGTTACTTGATGAAAATGGATCGAACACCTTATCAGCGCAGGTATTTTCTTTCGTTGTTGACGTCATTTCCTTGAGCTTGTCGGTTGCAAACTTGTCGGGCTTATCGTTTTTTTGCTTTTTTTTGATATCTATCACTCCATTTTATTGTTTGATCTTTGGGATTTCTGGCGCTATTCCAGTATCCGGGCCCCAAAATTTTTTTGCCGTGGATTTCGCTAAAACTTCGCTCAGGGGGGTTATTCGGCCCGCTGATGCCGAATATCACATTGGTTTTGTACGGTAGCGTCATTTTCTGAGGTTACGGTGGGTATACGGTAAAGGGTCAAAATCACAGAATTCGCTGAAACTTGGCCTAGGGGGGGTTATTCGGCCCGCTGATGCCAAATATCACATTGGTTTTGTACGGTAGCGTCATTTTCTGGGGTTACGGTGGCTACATAGTAACGGGTGTAAAACATAGTTCTGCCTGAAACAGGTGTACGGCGATTCGGACGATCGTGAAGCTTTGCACACACGACCATCGCCACGCGATACACTCTCTGCTGCGGCTTTTGCCTAAGCAAAGCACAGGGGAAAGATACATTTGCCGAATTGCGTTTTTGACCCTTACCGTAAACCTACCGTAACCATGCAGAGAAACGTTTTTGTGCGGAGAAAGTGTAACATTTCTGATCAGGATGTCAAATGACTCCTCTGTGCGAAGCTGCAGCGGATTTTGAGGTTTTGACCCCCTACCGTTTACCCACCGTAACCCAAGAAAATGGCGCTATGGCACATAACCAATGTGATATTTGGCATCAGCGGGCCGAATAACCCCTTTGGACCAAGTTTCGGGCAAATCCGTGATTTTGACCCCCTACCGTAGTCTTACCGTAACTCCACCGGATGGCTCTATCGCATGAAATAAATATCATATTTGTGTTCAGCATACCAAATAACCCCCCTACGAAGTTTTAGCGAAATCCACAACAAAAAAATTTTGGGGCCCGGATACTGGAATAGCGCCGGATTTCTTACGTACTTTATTTTTGCATAGGAACAATCCACCGAAAAGAATCCTTTACTCCCTTAGCGCTCAAGGGGCGCCGCGCTACTCGGGTTCATGCTTCTCCACTCAAGAGCAGTGACGGTGTGTTATACGCAGATCAGTACTTTTACGCAGAATGTCGCATCTTTTCGTTGTTTTATTCACCAAAGTACGTTGAGTGGCTGTTTCGTTCTCTAGATCCTCCGAGATCTTATGCCAGCGGATTCTCTTTTCCAGGTAGCAAAAAAAATGTTTGGCTTGAGATTGATCCCCTGACTGGTGCTAAGGTCAAACCCGTATTTATCACCATTTTTGGTTCTGCTGACATCATTTTAGGTAGAGACGATGCCAGCCACGAGTGACAAATTTGTCCAGCTAGTAATGAAAATACCGTGTTCGTTGGCCGAACTGATTATCGTGCGAGTTTTTTAGTTTACCTTGATTTGGTTTGAGTTAACATTTGTCTTCTATTTTTGTATTAGTTCTTACCCTCTCACAATAACGCGAAACAAGATGCTGTGCTCAATAGTCTGTGCTTCAACTTTTACTCATCCCTGCAAGTTTACTACATCCTTAGAGCAGTCCATTAGTCGCGAAATTACAATGTGCTCCACGATTGATTTTGGCCCTTCAGAAAGCGTTTTCAGACAAGAGGTCAAAGAATGTGTCAACAAGGTTGAACAATGCGATTATCTTGGTTAGTATTTCCAATCTTCGCTTTTATTTAAGAAAGTATCATGCTTTTTTCTTGTGCGTTTTTGATGATTAACTGATCTTGTCCTGATTGTGTACGACAGTGAGAGCGGTATCCTATCAGCGATTGTTCGGTCGAATATCTCAACACACATCACATTGTAATTATGGACAAGATTTTGTTTGGATGATTTCTGGACATATTTGCACATTTTTCTATTTTTTCTGTTTTCAGGTTGATGGAAACTTTCCCCATGCTGGGTACTGGTGCACGTTATGCGAGTATCACATATCTAGCATACAGCATGTGCAAAGTCACTTTGAGCAGCATGAGCCTTTCGCGGATGAACAAGTAGGTTGTGAAGTTTTGTGTTTTTTGAAGTTTTTGTGAAGTTTTTTTTTGTGTTTTTGTCAACTACATTTCTGAAGGCTATATAATGCACCGTGCTCGTTGCTGAGCACCATTCGCAAGTGCTGGACTAGTTCAGAAATTTGCAGCAGACACTGTGTTAATGAATTTTGCTATAGGGCCCTGCAGGATCGCGAGAGTCGGTGCAGTTGCGGCCATTGCTTGCGCATTGAGCTTTCTCGCTATTCTTTTTCCTTTCAAATGCCTTTCTGCTATCATATGTTGACTTTCATTCATTTGAAACGGTTTTGAAAATAATGGGGTTGTTCTGTTGGTTTTAGGCCTTCTGGCATCCTGTGTGCACAATGGCCGCAACCGCGCCGACTCTCGCGATCCTGCAGAGCCCTATACGCACCCACTGGCTCTAGATGCTAAGAACGAGGATTCTTCTGAAATCCGCATTCAACAATGTCAGTTCAGTTAACTTCAAACTGTATCGATACTGTTTTAGGCATGATTTACAAAGCGCTTGTGACCTATCGACAAGAACGTGAACGATATCCACGGCTTACAGTTTATGAGCACGTTTCTTTCGTTAGTCAAAGTACCTGTACTACTTCATGACTCTGATCAATTCGATCAC